GGACTGGGGTTGGTCGGATAATTGAAAAGTCGGATAACCGAAAAGTATGAAAAAATCCATTATTAGTGTAGTATATTATTATATCCCATGTAATTAGTATATTAGTATATCGCTAATAACCTACTTCGCGTTGAATTTTCATCGATGTTAAGCATAACAAAAATTTTTTAAAAATAATAATCGTCGCTATTGTATCGTTAAAAATTAGAAAATTAATCCTCGTTTAAATACTGGCTCCCTTTCATGGTCGAGCCAGTGTTGCCAACTAAAACACGTAAAAATACTATTAAAGTAGCCAAGACAGCCAAACATTGCAGCACCACATCACTAGCGGACATTTGAATATGCCGACTAGAATGCGGTCGGTTAACCGATGTGACGGTTGATCGGGGGTCGGATAATCGATGCTCTACTGTATATGTTTTATATTTAATCTATAAAGTCGAGAAAGAACAATGTTAAGAAAAATCTTTATTTAGTAAATCTTTTTATTTCATTCATTTATTTTTGGGTTTTCTGTCACCTTCGATTTCTATTTAACTATTATTTAAATATATAGAGACAATCAATCTTTCTACTTAATAATTTATATAAATATACAGTATTTTGGTTGCCAGTTTTTACTATGTATAGGTCGATATCCGATAAGCTTTTCATTTTTTATTTTTATTAATTTTCCTGAACGTTTTGCTAGACAATATTCTTTAATTTTCATTGCGATTCTTGCAAATGATTTGAACTTTCTTAGGTTATTCTGTTTATATTAAAACAGAGTGGTATATAACCCTCACTATCTAGAGTTGCTATGAAAATATAAATCTGAGATTGATTTATATTTTGATTACATCGTAATCTAGATGAGACTGCATTCCTATCGTTATATCATCTATACAATATTTTGGAAAATTTATGATTATAAAATCCATTTATTTGCATATATTTTAGAGATAGAGATGTATTAAATGGAGTTAAAAATTTTGATTATTAAAACTGACTGAACATTATTTGTTTGAACATGTATTCAAATACAGTCGCGGGATGAGACATTAAATAGAAAAATTTAATTTAAAATTAAAAACCGAAATTTAATGTCTATCAAAAGTTATCGTATCTGTAGTCTTCACTAGATGAAATAGGCCTATATTCACGCATCCAACACTAACTATAAAAATCCAGCAACGAGTTGAGTAACTTTCCCGGCAAAAAAATTTACAATTGTAATGCTACCATCTGTTATGATGTTTTATTTTTAAAACTTTTTACATTTATTAATTATTATAAAATGGCAAAAGGTTTAATTTTGAAGGTAGGGATGAATTTAATAAATGCTAAGAGTAAAATCTTCATTAAGTTCGATCACATTTGAGATATGAAACACGATGCCCCTCTACCTTCCCACTCCTCGACCGTTAATCACCAAAATTTAATAACATCAATCCCTCTAATACGCGAACCTCCCTGCAAAATTTCAGAATATTTCGACAAAAAACACAGAAGTTGTTAAGCTTCAAACTGTGGGAAACAAAATAGTGTCCCTCACACACGCTAACATTCATACATACAGAAAAAGCCTCAACTTTAATGCATTTCTCGACGTTTAAAGGTCCTCTGAGTACAAAAATGTAAAAATTTTGGGGGTTTATTTTTTGACCGATGGCCATACTTACCCTCTGTTATATATAATAGCCGGAAAAGTAAAAGTGAATTACAAAATTTCTTTCAATACTACATTTAAGGTGGTGAAATCAAATTGAATCCAACTTTTCTGACAAAGTCTACTGGCTAACAATTCAGTGAATCTGATACTGAATTGTTACAAAATCTCAATGATGTGCAAAACATTTAAGTTATATATGAACAATACTGTTATTGGGCTGGAATTTGAAAAAATTGTACACCTATAAATTCCCACTGTCGTCCGTCCGTCCGTCCGTTTATCTTTTCTTAATCTCGAAAATCGAATTACATAAATGAAAGTCGAGAACAGATATGGAAAGATTAGGCGCTGTGGCTCTCGATTAACTGTAAACGAACTTACAATACAAACCGGAACTCACGTTACTTCGATTCAAAATTTTCGTCCAAAGATACTAGATAGACCGGCATGACTTATTGTTAAAGGAAATATAGGATGTACAGGGACAAGCCACTACTGATTTGAGGGGGAGATCATATATTTTAAATTAAANTCTGAATGTGATATCGATTTTGACACTTTTTTTAATTTGTTCTTTGAGCAGACTAATGACTTACACTCTCCAGGACAGTCTGCTAAAAGAACAAATGTTTGGTTATGTCTTTATCACTGAACCAGACTTTCAGTTCAGACAGATTTCTAACAATATCATGTGTCCTATCATGTTTCTTTTTTATTTTCGCTGTTGACAATGATAAATTAAAACTATTGTCACAGTGGAACGCATGTGGTCTAATATGCTTCACTAAACTCTAATGACAAAATGTATAACTAATATAATTATTTAGCAAGCAAAAAAGCAGAGCTGCATCTCATTCTTTGGAAGGAAAATTGCGTGTCATATACGACACGCGGCATCCCAAGAGGGTATTTCATTAATCTTTATTCTATTTCTTTTAACAAATACGAATAAACAGAGAATAATAATAAACATAACAGTTAATACAAAATTAAATGTTTATCGGATGAATTCAAAATATAGTTGACAGCTTTTAGAATTGTTTCTAATTCAACTTTATAATTTTTATTCTAAAATTAGTTCTAAATTTTCGATTTTAAGCAATGTATCACTTGTTAATTAACAAAAGCTATAACGGTTTTACTGTAAGTGTTTTTTCCAAATATTTTTTAAGAGTACATTTCTATGTGCTAAATTTACAATAAAAATAAAAATAAAACAATTCAGTGAAAATAATGATATAGAGAAAACAGAAAGGAATAGCAACAAAAGTGTCCTTTTAACTAGTATTTAAAATTCAATAAAAATATTATTTCGATGTAATAAAACTTCTAATTTTAATAGACACGCCGAGGGCGTATTGATGATACACAATTTGCCAAGAAGTAAAAAGAAATAATAAGATAAATTAGGCAAGATAGTGAAAAAAGTTCTGGAAGCTGAGATTGTAAAAATAAATTTTATTTAAAAAATATAACCGCTCAGATGTTTTATCATACCAAACAACACAATAACGAGCAAAATAAGAACTTTTCCGAAAACAGACTCTAAACAACGAAATATAATTTTCTGCTAAATAACTATGTCACCCTTAGAGGTGTGGATTATTTGGTGAACAGTATATTGACAAGTCCTTACCAGAGTCTATTCTGTTATTTTTGACAGATTACAAGTTAGACTCATTATTGAAGCTTCTATGGCATTATATAAAAGAAACAAAAGTCTTCTGCTAATCTTAAGATACAGTAAACATAAACTTGGGTAAAACATTCTGTAAGTCAGGAACAAAAACATTTGATTTTTTCTATCTTTACGGAATTGCGCGTAAACAGCACACATAGCAAGCATGGCTTTTAGTTTATACAGTAATTACACCCGTTTATTATCTCACCCTCATTTACCGTATATTAAAATTATAGTACTTTCAGTAATAAAATAATAGCAACGACGAAATTGTCTATTTTTCGTATTTCTCATGCAGATGATTTACGGAGCACTGCTCATGAGTGTTGAGAAACTCTGTTCCAGAGAGATAAGTTACTAATTATTTAAAGAAATAGTTAAAAATAGGAGATTGCAATACAAAAAAAGCTTTATAATTGTTAACTTTATTTGCTATTTTATTTACGAAGCGTAGTATTATTTTTACTGATGAGTTCATTGTCTGTTTTGTTATACATAAAAATTATTGTTTAATTCTGATTCAAGTATAATTACACGTGTTTAAAATACATTATTTTAAAGTAATGCGATAGAAAAATCAACATAACGACCGTCTCTTTTCGTTTTCGTATTTGTTCTATGTTCTTTCTTGCCTGAAAAATGCAACTATGGATTCATCATTGATTTTAATGGCAAAAAGTTTGTTTATGTTACGCAAAATTCGAACAAAGACGTGACTTAGAACGCAATCCTCGCATAATTTGTAAACTTAATATATATTGTATAATCTGATTTATAGTAATTGTAAAATATCCAAGTGATTAAAGAAGTGACTTTGTCTTAACAGAAATATCGTATAAAATATTTTGAGTCATAATTTTTGATAAATCGTATTGTGATACTTCTTACTTAAGAGGATATAAACTACTGTTTCCTACAATTTTCTTAAAAGTTTTTTAAACTTATATTAATATGACGTAAACCAAGTTAATACGAAAAATGGAAAATTGTACTTTAAACATACGTTAGCCTTCATTTACGTACTATAGTGTAAGTTTAAACGTGAAATACATCCTGTTTGAATTTAAATAAGTAAAATAGAGAATTCCGAACATTCTCAATATATACATAATGATAGTTGATATAAAATATAATAAAGAAAAACCGTACCTTTACATATTCGTTTCGCTGCTGTTTTGTTACTAAAAGTACAGTTAAAATGTTGTTTCCAAAACTCTTTAAACCAAGGGTTTCTTTTATTGTTTTCAGGAGTAAGAGACACAAAATATGTATCGAACTCTAAAAGCAGAAACATAAAAACATTATTTTAATCATTCAAATTTAAGGTAATAATGTCATCAAAATTTCTATTTTCATTAAAGATTTTATTTTGATCTACAGACGTGAGAAACAGTCTTTTCAGAACAAACTGAAAAAAATATATAAGAAAACAAAGTGATGATTTTAATTGTTTGCATAAATATCGATATACAATTTCGTAATATATACAGTATTTCTAATATATAAATAATATAAGCATATAGGTTTACAATGTCATCAGCCTGATGACCACGCGTAGGACGTCTGACTAGTGTCTTGGAGAATCAAAATCAAACTACCATAATTTATTACACAGAATAAAGAGTGGGACATATTCTCAATCCACTATTCATATTGCATATTGGCTGGACCACATTTCCAATCGTATCCGCTCGTAACCAAAGAAATTGTTTAACTCGTTTACATCATATAGGCCATACAGCCTTAATTAATGTCGCACGGTAAATAATTAATCGTTATAATGCTTTCAAACACTTCTAAACACAAATATAAGTCATTCTATGTGAATACACTCTTATAGAATTTAAAAAAGTAATTTAAAAAGTAAAAAATGGCCGCTGTTTAGAGGCAACCGTTATTGGATGTTCCACTGTGTTTAATTTAACTATCGAATTATTTCAAAATTGCATGCTATTTGTGTTTTAATTTATAAACTCATTCTCAATTATATTTATAAAAAGTGTTACTTTAACAATATTTATTATAAATTGAAGATTACTGTGATTAATAAAAAAATTAATGATGTAAATTAATGATGATTCTATATTAATTAACTACCTAATACTGCTTTGTTGTTCTAATTAGCAATTTAGAGAATAAAATAAATTATATAATTACGAAAAGCCATATTTTCTGTAATTTAACACTAAAAATAAATTGATTTTACGTAACTGACCTTTATATAAATTAACTTGATTTTATATAACACAAATACATAATTACAATCACTACTGTTTAACAACGTTACATTACTGTATTAATTAATATAGAAACCGTTTAAATATTTGTTATTTTAACTCGAAATTGCCTTGGTCTAAGGCGTGTTCCATTTACTTGAATTTAAAATTATAAAAATTTAAATAAACGATTACGGTGTCAGTTTACTTAATGCAAATGTAAATAGTTGAGCGTTTTAACAATACATTTTAAATGTAAAGAAAGACTTTTCTTAAATCATAAAAACGGTATTATCCAATAATACTTCTGCCGAAATAAAATATCTTTTTATCGCTGAATCTCATTACTAAATCATATTTCGCAATAAAAAACATGCAAATATTTATCTTTTTTTACGAACAAGCCCGTTAACAACGAAGTACAAGCACATATCTAAAAATCACTTTGTTATTATAAATAACGCTAAACATAGCCTAAATGTGTGCCTGGATTTAAAGACTTTAGCTTTTGTGCATTGCGATTAATCATAAAATGAACATTTTAAAACAATTATTTATAGTACGAAATTTTATTTTTTTCGTACTCGTGGCAATGAATAGTTTTATTCGATATATTTACTTTTAATGAGAATAATTTCAATTATCAGAAAATATTTTAGTTAATTATCGTTATTACGTATATAATAAATAAAATATTCAGTGAAATATTATAAAATTGATGTAAAATAATTTAAAAGATTGATTACTTTCAATTACCAGAAAAATCAGTTTTCTTCCAAGAGGAGATTTGAGAAGTTAAATTGCTTTATTTTTCTGATTTAATCTGATATCATTGTAGATAAGAAGTTTGAAAATATAAGTCATTTCTTTCTAAATCTTCTCATCTAAAATAACATGGTAAGCAAATATCGGAAAACTATACTTACTTGTAAGTGGGTAACGTTTTGGCAAAATGGTGATAGCTCCTTCAGCTGCAATTTCTTGATCTCTAACTGGATGAATTTTTGCACCCCAACTGTCACTTCCTATCCATAAAAAGTGACCACTCATGTTTTTCCTTTTAGACGCGGCCAACATCTTTCTAAATGCAATAAAATAAATAATTGTATTTACGAATTTAATTTGATTTATCAACATATTCTATTTTCATTCGATTCTAAAATAACTTGTCTCAAATAAAAGTTATAATTATTATTTACAAAATTTCTTTACACAATTTTATTTATATTCAAAAATGTCTATAAGATTAAGTTTGGAACATCATTTCTTCTTCAAGGAATTAATTAAAAAGTTATTACAATAATTAAATCATTAGAATTACATTTAAAATTAAAAAATACTGAGATATACTGTATACTGTACAGTATACAGTATATCTCAGTATTTTCAGTATATCAGTCCAAAGATAGTGTAATGTTAACTGTGGGATGCTCTGAGAGAGGGAGTTTTCTTCAAGGAGACGTGACGATTAGAAAAGGCGAGGAAAAAAGAAAAAAATAGGTTTTGAACAGATGCTGTCGGGGTGGATCAGTTCTCTTCTCTGCTGTAACAGTTTCGTGAATAAACATTGTTTCTTGTTCGTCATAATTGTGTGGAATTCATTTCGCAGTCACTACAGAGCCAATCAGGCACGACAGATATCTTGCACAAAAAATGGCCTACATCATTTAAATCTATACGGTAGAAGTTTTGTACACACTAAAATATTTATATCGAAATTTGTTGAAAATCAATTTATATAGCCTATAAAATTTATTTCCATTAAAGATTTGAAAATTAAAACACTCTACCGAAATTCTTTTTGGTGTCATTAAATACTGCGTATGCGAAAAATGAAATATATATATAGGCCCCTATATATTGTTATATTTAATTATTTATATTTAAAAGTAACGTATTTAAAAGAAAATAAAATAATAAAAGTAAAAAATTTTCAATAGGATTTCCAATATTCCATCAACTTTTAAATATTAAATATTAATTAAATGAATTTAAATATTTTAAATGTTGAATTACAGTAAGAACTACGTTTTTGTCAGCAAATAATATTTATAAATTACAGTTTTATAAATGCAAGACAAAAAGGGAAAATGTAGAACAATTGAATATAATTATATGTTTTGTATTTAATCTATAAAGTCGAGAAAGAACAATTTTAAGAAAAATCTTTAATATCTCTTTTTATTTCATTCATTTATTTTTGGGTTTTCTGTCACCTTCGATCTCTATTTAACTATTATTTAAATATATAGAGACAATCAATCTTTCTACTTAATAATTTATATAAATATACAGTATTTTGGTTGCCAGTTTTTACTATGTGTAGATTGATATCCGATAAGCTTTACATTTTTTATTTTTATTAATTTTCCTGAACGTTTTGCTAGACAATATTCTTTAATTATCATTGAGATTTTTGCAAATGATTTGAACTTTCTTAAATTATTTTGTTTATATTAAAACAGAATGACATATAACCCTCACTATCTAGAGTTGCTATGAAAATATAAATCTGAGATTGATTTATATTTTGATTACATCGTAATCTAGATGAGACTGCATTCCTATCGTTATATCATCTATACAATATTTTGGAAAATTTAAAACTGACTGAACATTATTTGTTTGAACATGTATTCAAATACAGTCGGCATGAGACATTAAATAAAAAAAATTTAATTTAAAATTAAAAACCGAAATTTAATGTCTATCAAAAGTTACCGTATTTGTAGTCTTCACTAGATGAAATATATTCACGCATCCAACACTAACTATAAAAATCCAGCAACGAGTTGAGTAACTTTCCCGGCAAGAAATTTACAATTGTGATGCTGCCATCTGTTATGATATTATATTTTTAAAACTTTTTACATTTATTAATTATTATAAAATGGCAAAAAGTTTAATTTTGAGGGTAGGGATGAATTTAATAAATGCTAATAAAGAGTAAAATCGTTCGATCACATTTGAGATATGAAACACGATCCCCCTCTATCTTCCCACTCCTCGGCCGTTAATCACCAAAATTTAATAACATCAATCCCTCTAANACATTACAATTGAATAGAAATACATACATCACACTACAGAAGGCCACTATATTGAATGCATGCCATATTGTTAGGAAATTCCTGAATACAGACACTGACACACTTATTTAATTTTAGTTTTGTTTTGGTTGCTATGCCTTGACTCTAGTCCTGCATAGTACACAGCCACCGGTGTCAACCGAGTATAATTATCCCACTAAACACAATAATAATAATAATAACGCACTTATTTCTTAATTTAGTTTATTCTCACTTTTAAGATTAGATTTAAATTTACGCAACATTTCCTTGAATGAACACTATGAGTACTTGAGCACTGTCTTCCTTTAGCAATTAGACTTTTGTGAATGACAGCAGAGTTTCCGAAAACATTGTCAGAAGAAATTTTCCTCTACTTCTTGAAGCTTGGCTATCGTCACTCATTGGCTTCCTTGAAATATCGCATAATTTCTAGGAAAGTGGTAAAAGTCGTTCGACATTAACTCAGTACCCTCACATTACCGCATTACCAAGCTGATCTATTTGCTAAGATATTGTAGGAAAAAATAAAGAAATCATAAATTGTTTCCGGTGGCAACTTACAATAGAAATTCTGACTTTGTATGATAATTTTTTCAACACTGGCTTCTGTTTTAAATATTCTTGGTCATGTATAAAACAGACACAGACGTATAGGCAATTCGTGGCACTTTATTGGATATTACTGTATAGTTAGATGCATTAAATTTTAGACAGTAAAAAGATGTATCTTCCATTTGTTTTGTAGGGGGAATAAATATACAGGTTACAAAAAGAAAGGTCAAGAAATTGCTATAACACGAAGTATAGTTTTTATAGTTATAACATGACAACTTACTATAGAATTTATCATCATCGTTTACTATAACTATTTTACAACTTTCACTAATTTTAAACTGTAGAATTATTAACTCTACAAAACAAATAAAACACACCAACATCTTTTTACTGTCTAAAATGTAATGCATATAATTGTACGATACAGTACATTGTGAACAACATCGACTTGGGTGCATTTCGGGATTTTTATCTCGTCCTCAGCTAACTATATATACTATCTCTAAAGTTCTACAAATCACAAATAGCACTTATAGGACATCTCAGTATAAGGAATATTTTACAACTTATCATAAATGTCTTATATGGTTTCCTCGGTTATTCATAATGTGTCCTCCTCGTGCTTTTCCACATCCGTAGATCCAGTGTCGCTTCAACTATTCTTTTCTTCTAGCATTTTTTTTAAGAATTATTTATAAAGTAGAACACTGTCTATAATTTAATCTTGGTCATGTACTGTACCGTACTGTACAATAGGTACTTAATACTAGATACACTAATATTATGGTGCTTAATATACTTAAATATACTTGGTTAACGAAAGAAAATATCACTTACAATGAATTCGTTACAAGTCATAAAAATGCTTCTTAATGTCACAAGAAGAAAGACTTTAACGCAAGTAGTTAATAAGTATAAAGGCGATATTACGAAAAGAACTTATTACACTAAATTATCAGAGAAAATTTATGACAAAATAATAGATGTTAATATTGATAATGGAATAAATTTTATGCATTTAATTTAAAAGTTAAGAGTTTAATAATCAATACAATGGCAGACAAGAAATTGCTAAAAACATAACTAAAGGAACTCACATTAAAATCTTGACACTTTGTATTTAATTAAGTAGCATTACTTAAAGTAAACTATTAAAATTTTATTTTAGTTTTATTTAGATAAGAAAACAAATTTCTTATCTAAATAGAAACGTCAATTACGACAAATAGGGTTTTAAAAATGAGTAATTAAAAATTTTAAATATAAGATAAATATTACATTTCCAATGCTAACGTATAGAAAGAGTTCTTTTTTAATTTAAAAAATAATTCAAAAGTTTAAAAGGTTTATCTAGTTTTTGTTTTTAATCAATTTCTTATCTTTTCAATTGTAGTTCTGAGAACAGAATTGGAATTACTCGAAAACATTAAAATCCTTAAAAATAAAATTCTTGAATGAAAAGTTTATTTAGTTTACTTTTGTTAAGTGAATTAATTTTGTGCATGCAAAACACTCCTTTTAAGGGACTTCATTCACATCGAAACAGATATATTTAGATTTAAGAAAAATAATGTAGAGGATTAATTTTCTTTTAATTTAAAAGTGATCAATACCTCAAGTGTTGTTTAGCTTTACAAATTAAAGTTTTAGCGTAATAGATCAAAATAATTATACTTAAAAACACCAATTTAATTTAATTTAGAATAATTAAGAAAATCAAATAAATAATCTTTTCATTTAGATTTTATAAGTGAACTACCGAAATTAATATGAAATCAGTTAAGTTGTATTCATTTAGATGATAGAATACACATTTTAAAAAAGTATTTTTGGCATGTCATGAATTATTAAAATATTGTAACTATAAATTAATAACATTAACAACATGAATATTTAAAATAAAAAATTAAATCATTTAAGATGTTTAATTCCAAACAAAGCACTACAAATGAACACACAAAGCATAAGTTTGCCACTCGAATTACCTTGTATAGAGTTGATTATATTATTGATCAACTATATTATATAGATAATTCTGATATTTTTTACACGAAATTTAAGGTTATAATAATCAGTTTTTATTTTTTGTTTTCTCTTAGAAAATGAAGATAATTTGGCATATTATTAAAACATGTAATTACTTCATGTATTGGCTATATATATATATATAACTTATATAATTTCTAATAGAAAAGTTTGAGATACTTGTTACACTAAAAACTCTTTACAAAATTATTTAGTTGTAATATTATATATATATTCGTAATGATAAAGCAACAGTATCTCTGATTAGAGACAGAAAACAAGTAATAATGCATATAATTGTCAGAAATTCGGATTATTTGATTGATCCTCTCACTATTATAATTTCTCAGAAAAGTAATTATCTAACATAATGTAATTCGTACCTTCGCCATTTAGTTGTTAATGTAATGGTTTTCGTTTCCAATCAGCA